ATATATATATATATATATATATATATATATATATATATATATATATATATACACATATAAAAGGGCGCTATTGGTGGTCAGACCAGTTTTGTGATCGTGTAAAATTTTTGAAAGAAATTGTCGAAAAAATCAGGTTTTTGCTTTTTAATTTTGTTCAAATTTTGATGTAGTACTTTAAAATAGTCGTAAGTTCATTAGTGAATTCAACGTTTGAGGTATTTTTACTTCAGATTGTGTTGATTTTTGTGTATATTTTTTAGGCCTGCACTTGTGTGTGTTCATGCAAGGAAAATGTCTGGGTCTGCGTTAAAGGCTAGGCCTACAAAGTCAAAAGTGGTTGAGGTGCAAACTATTACTAGTGATAATGGTGATACATCAAGTCAGGGCAAATGTGATTCTTGTGATTCTCCGGTCCTAAAAACGGATAGAGGAAGAATTTGTGGACTTTGTAAATATTGGTTTCATTCTCAGTGTCAGAATGTCAATAAGACTAAATGACTGGTTAACTAAAGGGGATCCGTCAATTTGTTGGTATTGTCGAACCTGTGCCTCCTGATGTAAAGAAAAATTGTGAAGCAAATTATAATTTAGTAAGCCATGCCGATAATGTAACTGAGAAGAATTTTGATGAATTGTTTGAAAGTAAATTGGAAGACATTAGAGAGAAATTGGATAGAAGGAATAATGTTGTTGTATTTAGGCTGAAAGAGAGTGGCGCAGTTGATGGGAGTGTTAGGAAAGAGCAGGATTTGAATTCGTTAAAGGAGTTGATGGATATCTGTAAAAGTTTGTTTCAGGCTTGGTAAGCGTGTAGAATGTAAAGATAGACCCTTGAAAGTTGTATTTTTTAATGAAGAGAGTAAGTTTAAATTTATGAAGTCAGTTCGAAATAAGGAAGTGTGTAGAATGTATGTGGTTCATGACGAAACTAAGGCCGAAAGAACTGAATATATGAAATTACGATAGGTCATGGATGCACGTCTCGAAGCAGGTGAAACTGATTTAGAAATCAGATGTGGTAAGATAAGGAAGAAACCACAGCGGATTTAGTACTGAATCTAATAAGAAAATATTAGATTTTAATTTCAGAAAATGTTCTTGCTTTTATACAAAATGCGATTCTTTATTTAATAAGAAAGATGAGCTTGTTGCGAGAATTGATTGTGAACAGCGTGATTTTATTTTTTTGACTGAAACGTTTCCAAAGAATTGATTGTGAACAGTGTGATTTTATTTTTTTGACTGAAACGTTTCCAAAGAATTATCTGTTTGACCTGTATTATGATAGTTTAAGAATGGATGGTTATGAGATTTTTCATCCAACGAAATCAGTTCGAGGAACGGGTATTTATGTTAAACAGGAGGCCTCTGTGTCTGAAGTACTGTATGTTTAAATCAGGATTTTCAAGAATCAGTTTAGTTGAAGTTCAAACTTCCCTCCGAAGTGAATGTTTTAATTGGTTGTGTTTATAGAAGCCCAAGTAGTTCAACTTTTAATAATGAGTTGCTATTTTACATGTTGAGAAGGGCGGAAGATTTTCATACAGATCATGTACTTGTGGTCGGGGATTTTAATTTTAAGTCTATAAATTGGTTGTCGTTGGAGGTCTCACGACATAATCTTTCTATAAATTTTCTTGAGTGCGTTGAGGATTTGTTTTGGATTCAACATTGTACGGCACCAACAAGATTTCGTCAATGAGATGAGCCAAGTGTTCTTGATTTCATTTTCTCAAGGGAGGAGTTCTTTATTAAGGATTTATATTATATGCCGGCTCTAAGGTCTCAGTGAACATGTTGTTTTAACTTTCAAGATAGTTTGTTTAATTCAAGTTTAAGAAACACCGATGGTACGAAATTTTTATAAGGGTGATTATGCAGCTATGAGGAATTATTTGCAGAATTTAAACTTGGAGCAAGTTGCAACAAAGTTGACATCAAATGAGTTAGCATTGGTGATTGAAAATTCCCTTCAGGATGGTATTTCTAATTTTGTTCCACTTGTGAGAAAATGTGTTAGTAAAAGAAAGCAATGGATGAATAAGGAAGTTGAAGAAGTAATTAAAATGAAATATAAAGCATGGAATGGCTATCAGAATAGGAGAGATGAGGGATCATGGAAGGTTTTTGTGAAAATTAGAAATAAAGCTACTACGGAAATTCGCAATGCTAAAGCATCCCTGGAAAGTAAATTAGCAGCCGAAGTTAAAGTGAACCCTAAAGCTTTTTGGAATTATATAAAAAGTAAATCTAAATCTAAACAAAGTGTACCTGATTTGAAGGATGAGAATAATGTTCTTTTGTCCTCCAGTAAAATAAAAGCAGACATTTTTAATAAGGCTTTTGTAAAAGTTTTTACCAAAGAGGATTCTAGATCAACATGTCAATTATGACGAAATTAGGACAGATGTTGTGAGTGATTCAGTTCTATTTGTCTTATGGAATTGCTGGTGATTTGCTAAGATGGATTGAGGCTTTTTTGTGGTTGATGGGGAAAAGTCTGAATGGCGCGATGTTATTAGCGGAGCGCCTCAAGGCAGTGTCCTGGGGCCATTATTATTTGTCATTTTTATAAATGATTTACCAGATGTAATTTTGCAATCTGATATCAGGCTTTTTGCCGATGAAACAAAATTGTTTCGAGAGGTTTAGTCCGATTCGGAAAGATATTTGCTTCAGTCTGATGTTGATGCAATGTTCAGATGGTCTCGGGAATGACAGTTACCCTTTAATTTGACTAAATGTAGCGTTATTCATTTTGGTTCTAAGAATCCAGAATATCAATATTTTATCGGTGAAGGAGCTTCTAACGTTAGCATTGAGTGTGTTACACAAGAAAGTGATTTAGGAATTTTGATTGACAACAAATTCGATTTTTCCGCTCATGCTACTAAAGTTGCAAGATCTGCAAATAAGGTTTTGGGAATGATTAATAGGTCTTTTAAGTATCTCGATAGTTGGAGTAATATGTATCTATACAAGTCTATGATTAGACCTAAGATGGAGTACCTATGGTGGCAGTTCATGGATACCGTACCTCTTTATCAAAAAGACATTAATCATTTGGAAAAAGTTCAGCAACGTTCTACAAGGCTTGTGTCTGAATTAAGAAGAAGTCTTATGAGGAGAGGTTAAAAATATTGGACTTGCCTACTTTAGTGTTTAGAAAGAAAAGGGCTGATTTAATTCAAACATTTAATTTTTTTTAAATATAGATAGGATTGATGAGGGAAAGCTCTTTCAAAGATCTATATTCCATAAAACTAAGGAGCATTCTTTAATAGTCTATAAATCCAAACCAAATCTTAATTTGAGGAAAAGGACATATGCGGTTCGGGTAATTAATGATTGGAATTCACTACCTAACGATGTTGTAACTGCTTCAACTGTTAATAAATTCAAGTCTGGCATAGCAAAATGTTGGTCTGACCACCAGTTTGAAAGGCAAATGGGAAAAACCCATAATAATAAGTGCGCGAAACAAGGAATAAAACAAGTCTCGTCTAAGCTATAAAAGTTCATGCTAAGCTTTTTTGACCTACAGCTCTCAGCGTCCAGATTATCAAGGTTTATTTTTTGAAAAATAGTATGCTGTTGATGTGTCATGAACACATTTAGGCATTATGTTGAAAAAATGTGTACTGTACTCGCGCAAATAAGCGCCCTTCTCGAATAAGCATGAAAATTTCCTTAAGCGCCCCATTCTAATTTGAATAAATGCCCCTCAATAATCCAATCAATCCTGGGACTGTGGATGTTGGCATGATTTGAGGTGTGGAGTGGAATCACATTCCTGTAGTCAATATCAAAATGAGGATATTTATCTTGAACAGATGAGAACTCCATGGACAGACAGTATATTTCCAACTTTCATCTTCTTACATTTGTCTATAGCCTAGTCCTACTCCTTTTCCGACAATTTGCACCTTTAACACATTCTCATATGAGTTTTTAAGAATACCTGCAATGATCATGCCATCCTGCTAATCTCAATCGGACGAATATGGCCAACAAACTAACCACCACACTAATTTCATCTGCTATTCTGTTGTTATGTAGGCCTAATACTGTACTCACAACATTCTTGTCATGACAAGCCATGCTCTCTGGACGATTATCTTTTCCGCCGCACCACCATTCGTAATTTGCGGTTTCCTGATGTCCTTATATAATCGTTTTTCATTCAAAATGTGCCTCTTGAATTTAATAAGTTCTCACAAGAACCCCTCGATTTTCATCTATTTCCATAAGCGCCCCCTCAATTTCACTCTGTTTTTATAAGCGCCCCATTCGAATAAGGGCCCCGTTTGAATAAGCGCCCCTCAAAAAGTCCGAAAAAATATTTTAAGCGCCCGGGCGCTTATTCGCGTGAGTGCGGTATGTATATATACACCCACACATCATATACACCACCCCAATTCCTCCGGATGAAGTTTACATTCAAGCGACAAAACAACCACAAATTACGCTCTCTGCTCATGACCCCGCCCCCTTTTGAACAATAATCATGGTAAACTCTGGGGGGGGGGGGGTGCACACCTGTTTTTTCTGCCTTCATTTCTGGAGGAACTTTCACGGGAGGCACCATGCCACCTCTAGATGGTTGAAAATGGCACTCTCAGACTTTGAATCTCAGAATTTGAATATCATTTTATTTTTATCCATTTATTTTATAATTTTGAAAAATTCAGGGGGAGGGGGCGGGCTAGCTGTCCTCCCACTCTACCTTGGATCCGCTACTGCATCACGTGTGCCGCTAATCAAGTGAGTGGAGTGTTTGCTTGATAGCTAGATTCATTGTATGCATTTCTTTTTATCTAGGGTCCCTGAATCGTCGATACTTATGGCATGATCGAGAGCGCCATCAAGAGTCTCGCTCTAAACAACTCAAAGTACAGGCAACAGTTAGTGATATTTGCGATGTAAGATCAAGTGCTAATTTAGTAGCAAATTTTCGTTCTGAAATTAATCAGTTTACAGAACTCATGGCAAACTATGTTGAACTGACAGACCGACGGGTAGGGAACATGCAAAGACCAGCGCCAGGTGCATTCCCTGGGGGAACGTTGGAGGACAAAATACATTATTATGAAAATCGTAGTCTGAAGTACACGAACGTACATGAAATGTTTATGAAATCAAGAAAATGTAACTTCAACAACACAAGGATTATCTTCCTCAGGGATGACATCGCTGGAATGTACTTCAGAAGGAAAGAAGAAAGGATGAAGATAAAGGTGGAGGCCGAGGAAAAGTGCAGGAGGATATACAAGATAGACGATTTTCGAAAACGTTATATTAGTTGTGAATGTAGGCCTAACAATGACGTTGTTTTTAAGACCATTCAATACAGGCATTTATCAAAAATTGATGATCAGAAACTAATAGATGATCCAGCTAAAGATGGCATAAGCAGCAAAAACTGCGCTGGTGAAACATTAACAAGCCAAGACCAACCCTTGTGTATCATTGTATCGCACAAATTACATGATACCCCTGCTCAGGGAGTTATAACAACTCCCTGCCCTGCCACTTATGAAGATAACACAGGTGGGCGGCAAAGGCGACCATTGCGAATTTGTTACCGATTGTTTCGACGCATTTGGCGGTGGGCACGCAAGCGCAAACGCCAAAACAACAGATCAATTCAAGGTACCAATAACCAACAATAATGCATTGTATAATAAATAACTATGGACTGGTTCTGAATAAAGTAATCATTTAAAAAGTGTAAAACATTTGCAGCTTTATTAATCACACACATGTAGTTTGGAAACAATTCCAACTAGAAACAAGATTATTTTAAATAAGTCAAACACTATAAATTGCCAAAAAGTACCAATTTTAAAAACAAATTATAAATCAAAATGCTAATAATTGATTCTATATTAATTTCTGTATGAAAGCACATATACTGAAGAGACAAGACTTTTTAAAACAAACAATATTTCCTACCGAAATCTACTTTTCCATTGTCACATTGCTGTAGAAATTTAAAGATGCAGTGTATGTCAAAAAAAAAATCGGTAAAAATCTATAATTTTGAATTGGATCATTACAATGAATATGTTATGAGCTTCTGATTTACAGACGTTTTTACATACTTAAATATACAAATTCAAGTTATTCAATATGGAATTGGATTTTTCTTTTTTTAACCCAATAACAGACAATATACCTTTAAGTAAATTTACAGAGTTTAGGGCCTACACATAATAGATATATATATTTTGAATACTTTGCTGTATCATATAAAACGAATAGGCATAGGTTTTGCTATTATCATAACAATATATATATTTTTTTAAATTAATAATCATCGTTTTACGAGAGTGTAAACCAGTCAGCGTCGGACGGTTACTGATGTTTCCCATTGGTGTTCTCGAACAAGACAATGAAAGCTGCTTTAACACGATTTGACCCAGAGACATCAAATTGAAAGTCAAGCATCTCTCATTTGCTGCTCCACTCATTTAAATTCCTAATTAATATTATTATTCTCGAATTTCTATAAAATATAAATTAATTATTGTATTTATATTTTTATGTGATTTTTAAATAAACAAAATTACTCAATAATTACCAGATATCGTAAGAAAATCACACACATATCAATCAATCAACCAATCAATAGGCAATAACCACAAATCAACAGAATCGTAATTAAATCATACATCAACTTATAATAAATTCATGAATTTAACAATTAGTTGAACATTAGATACTGAATTATTTGTTTAGGTAAAGGTAGTGTCTCTAACTTTGTTAAGTCATTTCTGCCAAAATAACCACGTATGAACAGCCTTGATAGATGTTTTAATGAGCGTGGGGTATCGTTCATAGTGATCAAATGGGATCGAAGAGGCTCTTGTAACCTTTCAGGAATATTCATATTATTGTCATAGAGACAAACAGTGTCTGATCCCTCAATCACGACGTTCGCTGTCTCAGTTTTATAGGGCACGTCCATCAAAAGTGGAAGGAGCGTAAATGGATCATTTCGACTGAAACTTAATGTCCATACTGCTCCGTTATTGATGAGAATTTTTAATTTCTCACTACATATGCTGTCGATGAAATCTAAATCACTGTTAAAAAGACTCTGTAGTTTTAGTAGAACGTATTGCATTGGTGTTTCTCCACTTTCTGTCTGCACATTCGGGTTCGCGCCATATTTCAACAAAAGTCTAAGCATATCCGTGTCGTCGCACATTGAGCATGCTCTATGGATTGGTTGGCATTGTCGATGATTGCAAGAATTGATGTCTGCGCCATGTATAAGAAGAAGTTTTGCGATTTCAAGGTTCCCTTGCGCTGCAGCTCTATGTAAAGGAGTGTTCAATTGCGAGTCAGCTAGGTTAGGATCTGCTCCATGTTTCAGTAGAAGTTCAACGATTCCCTTCTCTTCGCTAACGACGGCTAGCCTAAGTGGAGTTACACGGTTCCTCGTCGGTGGCATGGTAATCACGTTCGGATCAGCGCCATACCTGAGTAATAGAAACACGAACAATATATTTCCAGTTTGCGCAGCGATGTGTAATGGCGTCATTCCATTGCGATCGCGTACATCAGAATCCGCACCATATTTCAAAAGGAGCTCAAAGCAGTCGGGTAGATCTGATCGTACTTGTAGGATCTCGTGACCAAAATGACGATGTTTGAAATTGGAATTGGCGCCAAATTTAAGCAATATTTCAACAATATCTGTATTTCCTTTATATAAGGCAAGGTGCAAAGCTGGGCAGCTGGTCATGTCCAACGAATTGACGTCGGCACCGTGATTTAGGAGAACCTTAATGGCATCAAGGCTGCCATATCGTGCCGCAATATGGAGCGGTCTAAAGCCGCACTTGTCAGATATCTCAATGTCGGCGCCATTTTCTATCAAGCACATCATATATTCGGTGTTGTTTTTGTAGACAGCATGGTGAATAGGTCGAAGTTGCATTGAACTTTGGGGTTGGTTGACATCAGCTCCTTGTTTCAGAAGCTCATTCAATCTGCTGACTGGTTGTCCACTGTTGATAGCATCGATCAGACTCTGAGAGCTTAATGCTGTTTCTGTTTCCATGATTACCACCAGCTAGTATTCCTGAAAAAAGAACAAATATATAAATACTGTATATAGATGTATATATATATATACGGTATATATATATATATATATATATATATATATATATATATATATATATATATATATATATGCCTATATATATATTATATGTATATATGTATATATATATGTATGTATATGTATGCAGCTAAAATACAAGCTATTAACGCGATGGTAAATTCAAAATAGAGCTTTTATTATGCTAATATGTACTTCCCTATTGTTAAGCTTAAAAACATAGTAAAAGAAATTGTTGAATATGTACGTAATTGGCTTGGTCTGAATAAATCATCAAATGTTGATAATATATTCATTCCATTGGGAGAAGGTGGATTTAGTGTTGCTGACCCTGTAAAAACTTATATTGCGAAAGAAGCTTGCATTTGCTATTGAAATGCTAAATTGTGATGATGTTAACGTTAAAGCTGCAGCTTCTGATTCTTTTGATTTACATATGTTGAAAAGTAAAGTTGCTAAGGTAGACACCCCAAAGAATGAATAAAATTTTGGGGGTTATACGATAACTGATGAAGGAAGAATCATTAAAGGAAGCAAATCCGTCTGGCCTTGGATTGAAATTAATGAGCTTTGAATTAGTAGAAATATTAGCCTTATCAAATCTGATGAGGGGGTGTTTGGTTACGAATGTGAAAAAAAAAATGAAGGACAGGGGTAACTTATAATTAGATCACATGAAGTCATGTTTATTATGTTAAGACAAAATATTTAAGAGAACGAATTAATAACTTTAGAAAAAGAGAATCACAGGGTAAATTTTTTAAAACTATGGAATCGTTCATAAATTGTCTAACAGTCACCTGTGTAATATGAAATTAACAGATAAGCTGGTATCGTTTGTAGTCAAAGGTAGAATGCATTTATTAGAATGCCACTCGTTGTTTAATTTTTACTACCCCAATGCTTATGAAAAAAGTGCAAACTTTGTAATAACCCATTCGAAACCGTGGCTCATGTATTAAATGGATGTATGAATCTTAGAAAACACCATATTGCCCGTCATGATCGAATAGTTAATTATATTGTCAGAGAATACTGTAAGATTAAATTAGATAAAGTACAAGTGTTTGAGAATCAAATAGTTAAAAGTAATATATGTTTGGTCTTGATGATGATAGCCAATTACAGGCAATAGAACACAGAAAACCAGATATATTAATAATTGATAACAATCAAAATAGATGTTACATAATAGAAATCTCGACACCGAACGATGCATTCCTTGACGAATGTTATAACACGAAAGTAGCATATATTCCAATTAGGTATATTATTGAAACTATATATAGATATAAATGGGAAGTAATGCTTGCATCGTTGGTTCTCTCGGTAATAGACGATTTTGGCCAGGGTTGAGTACCCTGGGGTTTAACAAGGAAATATGTAAAAAAAAATATGTCGATATTGCAGTGTAAGCGTTATGATTGGTTCACGGTATACTTGGCGAAGTAGGTGTATGGCCACTGATAATTAAATATTGGAACAGAAAGTTGTAAACATTGAAAGTAAAGGTGGTTTATGTTATGATTTGCTTAAGTGGGGTAAGTTAGGGATCCGCCTTGGTGGATCTCCAACATGTATATATAAAAAAGAACAAATAAAAGTTATTATTATATATATATGTCTATATATACATATATTATATATATAAACATATATATATATATATGAGGAAGGACTAGTGTTGTCCGAAAGCTCTGGTTCTATTTCTGGCTGTTTACTTACGTTTACTTTTTAGCTGTTGCTTATCATTTTTGTATCTCTACTGAGATCCAGCCATTGTTTCCCACAGCATTGTTGTTTTCCAGTATTTTGCCTTTTAATCTATATATATA